AATTATTTTAGTAAATGTAAAACTGCAAAATACCTTTTCTCATCAGCAGTTAGAGCAGTCTTGTAACTTCTATCAGTATCCAGCAGAACACTGGCTAAAACTTGTATGAGGAGTTTTCATTCTCCCCTGATTGTCCTATGAGACTGCAGGACCCCTGACCCGCATGCGATCAGCACAGTGCTGATTGGCCCTGTGCTGATCACATGCACTCCCAAGAAAAAAAAACCCTTAGGTTACACAGTGAGTATAACAAGCATGTTTACTGCATATACAGACTGATTTTACTGTTGTGGGTTTAGTAACACTCTAAATTGTTTTTTAAGCGTTTTCTAGCTGAAGTTTTGAGTGTTCCTCATTATAAAGCTTTATTAAACAGTTACAAAACATACCTCTTCCTTATTGTGCAGATATTAGAGTCAAAGTACCTCCCATATTTACTGTACTACAGTTTTCTGTCTCTGTTGACAGCACGATGGGTTAGTTCTAATAATATTTACAGGGACCCTGGTAACTGTAATTTAGAAATATTTGTAAAGGATTTGGAGTTGTTCTCAGCTTTATTTTGTTTTACTTTATTATTGCCTGTGTTTTAACATGTTTTATTTCCCCATATTACTGAATATGTAACTGGTCTCAAGGTACACAATATTATTTTTAATTTACTGATTTTGGCTGACAAATATTGACTGTGCTGTTTATTTAACGTGCTATTTTACCCCAATACATATTACTACTTTAGTGTCTCAGGCTTTAAATCTCCAACACTCATTTGCTTAGATATAGTATAAAAAAGAAATAAGGAACAATTACTGACCTAGATGCACAATCCAAAGCCCAATTCCTCTTACAAACTGAGGGAGTCTGATGCCAAAAAGTCCTGCACGTATTAATTCGTCTTCGAGCAGATGACCGTTTTTTTCCTCACAATGGCACTCCTAAAGCTGCCCATACATAGAAAACTAGATGAATTTCGATTCATGTATGGTCACTGTGGTTGAACAGAAGTCAGTCTATTGATCCACTTTGGTACAACCTCCCAGATGGATATTAGCTGCTCAACAAGCGCTGCAGCACTGATAAATCTCCTCACTATCAGAATACAGACACAGAGGGGAGGATTCCCTTATCAATCTAAATGCATGGATAGGAGACTCGGGCCAGTTTTTTCATTCAACCCAATGACTACTGTTCTTTTGGAAAAAGTAATGGGATTTATTTACTGAAGAAATATATACTTTTTTCAACAAAGTGAATGGTAATTTGCAATGTGCATTTTCCTTTAGCTTAGAGAATAAGGAAAAGCTGTATCCACTTTCAATAATCAATCTCGTGCATATAAAAAACAACTGATTTTTTTCTTGCACATGATTGGATCATTGACATGAACATATATTCATCCTATTTACTAAGCTCAGTGATTGGCTGTTGTGTATTACTTTTTTCCAAAAGTGATTTCTCAACAAATTGCGTGTTTCATTTTTCCAGATTCAGATTTGTAGCAACCTATGCAAGTGGGCATTTTTTTCTACATTAGTACTGTTATTTAAAGTAAAATCTACACAAACAAGGCATTCTTTTTCACACATATCAATTTGCTGTAAAAATATTCCACTGAAATACAAATATGCATTATGAATCCACAATAAAAGGGAAAAGGATGTTGAAGAGTTTGGTAGAAAAACAAAACCCTCACCTGAACAAGTCACTGCTGTTGTAGTCACTCTTGTGTCAGATAGTCAATTCAATGTTCTCTAAAAAATGGCATGTGTTAAGCCCTGATAGTAAATACTAAGAAGCCACTATTTCTATAAGAAAGTAATTACAGCAAAGCATATTTGTATGGTCCAGAACCTGATATTCTCTATAATGGGATGCCTGTACAGCCATCAGGAGCAGTAAGTGCAACCAAGGAGAATATTTTTCTTTTTTAGCCATTGTATCAGCTTAATAAGTGTTTGTGACTATGATGTACTGTGACAACAATACTAATAAATACAACACCAGAAATGGAAGGGGCAGTCTCGAAAAACAGAAAATTGTCCAAACTCTATGCTTGCTCGTTTCAGGATTCATGTCCTTCCCCAAAAAGGAAAATATTAAACGTCTGCTTCTCTTACTTCTTATTATGCTGTAAACTGAAATTTTGGCATGCCATATTGTACCTGATCTATCCAGAGAAGAAATGCCAAACGAGAGATTAGTTGCTGCATGCTTTAACCAGCAAAACTGGCCTCTGCTTTCCCTTCATGCTTTTCACCTGGGATACCTGACAAGTCATAACAGCAAAAACATCATTGCTGCACTAATTTTGTTCATATTTAATCATCATGAAGTGTTGGAAAAGGTTTTGGACAAAATCAAGATAGTTTGTATCCAATGTAGCAGCATGTTAGGCTACTAAAATATGCTCCTGGCATTTCAAACTCAAAGAATACTTATCCTATTCAGGCTAATCTGAGACATTCTGATTTTCTACAGGTGTTTTGCCACCTCATTAAATAATGGAAAATAGTCAATAACTACATTATTCTCCACAGTATGGAAGCTCAGAGTGTTCACTTCTCTGAGCCAAGGCAGAGCTAATTAGAGACTTGTGTCAGTGGGAAGCCTAGCTTAAGCAATGTTTACACTCCTCCCTCCTACCATATATTAGAGCAAGCACTTCTTTTTTTGTTTTGCAGACTGTGAAAGATAACTAAAATTGTCACCTGTATTTTTTTCTATATCTGTCCATGAGCCCATTTGGGAAATGTTCCGTCACTTCCTGTCTCAGGTCAAGAAAAAGATGGAGTTGGTATCATTAGGGCAGGAAGGCATGGGTAGTAATAAACTCATTGTCAGCTGTATTAACACTAACTTGCTCTAATAAAATATATTTAGATTTTTTTTGTGTCCCTATTAGGATATATTATTACTTCCTTTTCTTACAGGAAGTAATGGGGAATCTCCCCAATAGGGGCACAGATGCCAATATAAATCTAACAAAGGTTCAAAGCCTATCCAACCTAATTTAACCTAATTCTCTACCCCAAAAAATAAAATGTTTTTATCTGAAGTTGAGGTTGATATAAAAATGCAGGGGCTTTATATACTAGGGACACCACTTACGGAGAAAGAAAGGAAGGCAAGAAAAAATAGCAAGCAAAGGCAAAAAAATTATATATGGTTATTACTTTAAGTGAAGTAGACCCTGTGTCTAGAACACCAGTCAACTGTGGTCATAAAGCTAATGACAAAAAAGCATTTTAATGGAGTTAGAGATTAGTGCAACTATTAGTTCAGATACAGATGGGCCGGTAAAGGATGGCAGGTTGTGTGCCTTCTGGGTAGCCAAGTTTAGATTTTAAGAAAGGGTTAACTTTTTTGACCTTCTTAAAAGATGATAAGTATGAAACTATTATTACTTTGGCTTTCTGAACTTCTCAATGCATCATTGTAACACATCATCTGCTATCCATGTGCTCTCTTGCCAACTATTTATTGTCTTTTTTGAAAAAACATACAACACAAAATGTGGTATTAATATGCTACGTGTACCTATGAAAATTGTTGAAAGACTAACCTGTATGAAAATGAATCACAGCCATCTGATGCTTTTCAGCCACTTCTGCTTGAAGGTATGCAGATCCACCAGCAAATCTTTAGATGTTCTCATCTTTAATTCACTACCTGATTTGCTGATTCACCTGTTATAATACACTGCATCCAAAGTACAATACAATGCTCCAAGACACATCAGCTAAGTTACAGTATGCTGATACTTACATTGCTTCAGTTATATAAAGATGTACAACAAAATTGATAGAGATTGTGCCAATGCTAGTTGATGCTATGGTATACATGTGCCGAAAAGTGCCTCAGACAATCTTGGCTTCCCCTCTATAAAACAGCTGGCTACCTTTCTAAATATGGTTGCAGGTCAGGTAATGAACATAAGTACCTGGGATCATTTTTATATTTTATAATCTTTATAAAAGATTAAAAAAATGTATGCACCCATATTTCACAATAAAACACACCTACTGATCTTGTTCACAGATTATAGAAAATGTGCCTTTTCTGTCTCTGGTCCATAGAAGTGTCAAATTCAATACATTCCAATATTGTGGTGTCCAACAACAGTCTAAAAAAATACAAAAAGCTTTTAACTGAATCGACTCCAAGAGCCTAATGATCAGGATCCTAATGGAAAGTATTAGTAATCAATAGGCACATGCAGCATCAGCAACCATTTTTGTATTTTGATTGGTTCGTAAACTTTACATTAATGGTTATGTGCATTTTCAACCAGTCAAACCAGTCAATGTACAATCTTCATTTATTACTATTATATACAGTGCTGATTTATGATTTATGCTTTTTAAATAACATGTATAAAATGTTACCCTAAAACATAGGGGACAAAATACATGAAGTTCCTACATGCTTTGTAAGCCTAGCTACAGGCTCAGACAGAATCCCCCACCCATGGTCATTTGACAATGCAGCTAATAAGCCGTGGGTTGCTGATAACTGGTGCTTGTCTCAGCTCCAAGCACTTGCCTGAGGCAAGCATTGGCATAAAGAATGCACAGGGGTGGAAAGCTAATATGCCTCCTGTCCTGCATTCAATTTGTTGCCACATGTCCAGTGAGGTACAGGGATTATCATGTTTAACCTTATAGTTTGGCTTACAAAACTTGTAGGTTCAGGGATCAGAGTACAACATGTACTATGTCCCCTGAGGACAGAACACTGAAATGAGACTTCTTATTTAAAAACTCTGAAAGTACCAAAAAAAATACATGGTAATCTTTGCCAGAAATGCAGTGAGCTCTTAACTTCATTTAGTGGGATGATAATGCTGCCATTGCAACAATGAAATAGCTGGAGTGTGTGTAAGGGGCAGCAGGCACCTGGTACGGGAGGGAGCAAGTTTTGGAAATGTAAACAAGTAAAAGTTATGGAAATGAGAAAGGGAGGATGTGCTGAAATAGTCCATGGTTGGCAATGCTACTGAGGATTATTAGCTCATTATGCTCTTAACGTGCAGGGAGGAGATTATTTTATTTTATTTTTTTGTGGTTTACTGCCACTTTAGGCTTTTATTAAGCTTTGCTAAATATTAATGTCCGGTATTAAAAATATACTGTATTTTCTTTTATACCTGTCAATTACCCAGATTTAAACTACTATTTTCAGGAGACACTACCTGTAGCGATATATAAATCTGAGAAAATTTGGCATTTATTTGACAAATAGCAAATAAAAGGTAAAAATTTCAAAGTTTTCACTTTTTCTTGGTCAAGTATTTTATTGAAGGAGTAATATGGATATACAAGAACTAATCACAATAAAGATAATAAACATTTTGTGATGTAAAGTATCTTCCAGAGGAAAACAATGGCAGTGGGGTTGGTACCGTCATCATAAGACATGCAGGTTTAAGCGTCCATAGAAAAGGTGAAATAGTAATTAAACACTGTGTGATTAGGATCCAAGCTATTGAGCTAACAGGTAAAATATGAGAGGACTAACTGAAGGAACATAAATTCAGAAGCCTTTATAAGGGATGAAGTCAGTGACCCCCTAGAGAACTTTTAGGTGAAGTATCCTAGGTGTAATGAATAAGAGAGTCCATGACCTACAGGGAGTGACCCATCTGAATTGTGACAGAAAACATCTTATAGTAAAGGTGGAAGAAAGAAGTGTCTAAAGACACCAAAGAAATGTAAAAGGGTAGCAGAAAAGAAGAAAAGAGGGGTTAAAGAAAAAAAAAAAGTAAAAGAGGAGGGGAAGGGGGGGGGGGGGGGAGTGATCAGCATTAGGAAGAAAAAAAAGGGGTAGCTGAGTTAAAAAGGCTTCTGCTTGTCAGATGGAAGGTATGCAAGCTTTACAGGTTAAGGGAGCAAAAGAGATTCCTAGACGTTGGAAGGCAAATACTTAATTACCCAAGGGCTCCAAAGTTTTTCATATTTGACCACTCTGTCCAGCAACATGGCCTCTATCTATGCTTAGCTGATTTGCAGTAGTGACTTGAAGTGACTGTGGGTTAAAGCCATGGGTTTGCTATTCAGAAGCGCCTTGGTAGGGTCTGGGCAATGTTGGTATTAAAAAGTTTAGAGAGGATTTCAAATGTCTGACCAGAAGGCTTTTGCAATAGGCATTCCCACCATACATGTAAATGTGTACCTATATTGTTTCAGCAGCAAAACCAGTGAAATACATAGTGGAGGGGGGGGTTGGATTTCACCCTACTAATATTAAAATTAAGTACTATCTTCTCGGTATAATTAGCTAGTATACTTAAGCTATGACAATATTGATAATATATTACAATATTAGCTATAATATTTAACACAATGCTCAAATAAGCAAGGTCTTATTTATTTGCAAAGAAAGTAAAACACTAACAGAGAAATCTAAACACATATTATAGAGCATATAGAAATAAAAGAGCAAAGATAATATGTTACGTAAGTTTGTCCTCTACGTTCAGTATCTGGCTGGTCTCTGGGTAGAAAAAAGGGAGGAGGCCATGGCTTGCCCTTACATTTATACTACTCACAAGCAACACCCATTCAGTGCCCTCCACCCGGCCTATATAGTCCTCTGTCCAATGAGTTACCATCTGTAAATTATAGGGGCTGTCATTTCCAATCACCAGGAAGCAATGTGCTACCTTGAATCCTCCAAAATGTATGCCATTGTTTCCACCAGGGGGCACTGCTATATTGCCATGAATCTTCTTGACCCAAGTCAGAATCACATCCAACATCTGGCCGCCTCTGATGTTGTTAGAAGTCAGGAAATCAGTCATTTTGATTTATCACATCGCTAGGAGGTCTGGGCTGATGCTCCTCTACCCCCACAACCCACATCGGAAGGCCAATGCGAGAACATCCTTTGGGAGATGAATTTCCATTTGTGACCCCTTGTTACAAACACCCTGCTGTGTCAACTGATTTGCTTGGTGTTCCAAGATGCATTGCAGATGGCCATTTGATAACCAGATAGTAAAAATCCATAAATGTTTGAATGTTGCCTTCTAACATATGCCACTCTGTGCCTGAATGGCACACCATCACCACTCTTTATAGACAGTATTCACATCACCATTCCAAGTCTTCTTATCACTGGCATCTTCTTTGGCCTGACAGGATCCACTACAAGCAAGGGGCATCCGTTCACTCATCACTCATTAGCATACACACAGGACCATATAGTACCCAGCTTTCAGATGCTAAACATTGAGGAGGGACTTATCCAACTGTATTAATAACCTAATAAATAAATGTCAAACTATAACAGCACACAGATCAACCCATTATAATGATATATACATATGTATATTGACCCTAGTAACAATTTGATATGTTCCTATCAGTACATGACCTACCACATTAAGCAGCCCATTCGCAACCTCCTATAGCCCTACATTGTATACATAGCTTTGAATTAGGCAGGTCTGCTCAGTATGACCTTCTCTATTGCAGTTTCTGCATGTATCAGGTAGTTTAGAACTCCTAATTGGCAGCAAAGCCTCTACTTTGTATAAAAAGAGCCTACTGTCAATTCATTGCTCAACTTGCATAGACAGATGTGAGACCTTCTTATATAAAATGTCGGGTCAAACAAACACATGTAAACCTGAACCATTGACAAAACCACAGCAAGAATGAGTAATACCACAATGGGATATATTAAAACTGTAGTAGCATTAGCTCTCTCTTGCTGTAGTCCCCTCATATGGTTTTCCTCCCTATGACAATCTGTCAACCATTCCTGCATCTTCCTACCCATACCAAGATTCAGGGCTTTCAGATTAATAGGGTGGTTATAGTTGATGTTTACAGACAGATTGTGGATATACAGTTCCACATAATTCCACCCCTGCACCTGAAGTTCTGAGACATTGCCCAGGCGACACCATGCACTTCTAACTATTGTTAGGTTCAAGGAACACCCTAGTTCTATGACTAATGTTATATCAGATTCAGTATCCTTTAGGACAAAGAAGCAAACTCTTCTATGTCCTAAATAATACACAGTTGTTTCCTTCCTGGCAATGATTTCCCCATCCAGCACACAGAGTAAATCATTTTCCCAAACTTCCAAACTTTAATCCCTTGCTGAAAACCCACAGTTCACATTCCTTGTTTTGAAGAATTGGATAGGTTATCATTCCTCCCCTATCAAACAACCTACCTAATTTGTATACATTATACAGTTGAGTATTTAACTGTCTGAAGAGACTCCAGTGTGATGTTTCACAAGTCCTGTTGATGGAAAAAGTCTTTCTGAGGTTGAATTAGAATGAAATTGTCCAAAAGGAAAAGAAACCTTATATTGCCTGTCATAATTTTTAACTTTTCCTTTTATCACTCTTCCCCTGAATGTTCATCAGAATAAATTTGTAATGCTGCAGTGCACAAACGCACTGCCAACCAGATGACCATCTTTCATCCATGTTCCAGAGACCTCACCAATCAACCAAACAAGAGCAATATCAAATTCTTATCTGTAATATCTCTTAGGGTATCATTTTTGCTATAGAACCTCCCTTGGAGCCCAGGATTGTAGCTTGCCTTGGCTTTACAACTCCAAACAGACTATTAAAACCACCATGATTTCATTCGGATAAACCTAACCAAAATGAATCCCCATTATATGGAAAGAAAAAAAAGGAGAACTGAATGCTGCTTTTACAAACTTTTATATTAAACCAATAATGCATTCAGCTGTTAAGTTAGGGCCTAATATCGCCCTTTCAGGTGGACAAAACCTATCAATTTGGAATTTTTTCTACCTGAATAGAAAAAAAATACAGTATATCAAGAGGCTAATATGGATTTCTACCAACACCTGTCTTAAACAAAATGTATTCAGTTGCTAACACATATCCCGTGGCTCTGCTTTCAGGTGGACTGAACCTATGAATTTTGGATTTTTCCACCCGAACTAGGAAAAAAAAAAAAAAAAAAAACCCTGAAAATATCAAATCCAGAGGCTTATCCTTGAAACTACTAAAAATGCATCCAGGTCCTCCATAACATTCCAAAAACTGAGGCCAAAAGATTTGTTTTCCCCAGTGTTGTTCCTTAGTGAAAATGTAGCTACATCCATTTTAAATCTATTCAGTTATTCCATAAATTGATGCCTTCCCTGCTTTAACTGACTATTTTCAAATTGTAATCATAGTATTTGTGTTTTAAAAGGGACCTGGTTCTGACTACTATGGGCTCAATGTCTTGGATTGCTACCCCTTCTGGCAGAATAAACTTCATTGTGCCTTGGTGTGGTTCTAGGGTACCGAGATTTTCTTTGTACATTATTATTAAACACCAAACAATACCTTGCAATGTGCCCCAACTTTTTACAGGTAAAACACCTGACAGCTCACCTCACTGCGTAGGCTCTATTCTAAGCGAATGGCAATGGAGACTCACATTACTATGGTTGGAATCAACATACTTCACATTTTCACTGTCTGAGGAGCATTCACTAACAACGTGTTTTCAGATCTGTCTACCAAAGGGTCAGACACATTTTCCATTTCTACTCCTGAACCTATGTAGATCAGCTGCTGCTGCAACACTTTTATTTGAATATTTGTCATCCAAATTACTAACCTTTTTTCCAAACCATAGAAATATTACTTACAGCAACAACCGCATTATGCTCCCCTAACTGCTGCTCTAGAGCCTCTATCTCTGCTGAACACTGAGACTGCTCAATCTCCACATACTTAGAGGATAACTCCATTATGGCAGCTTAGGCATCCTGCAACTCCCTTCTAAGCACTATTATGACATTCTCATTCTCTGCTTCCCTTTGTTCTAAAGATGTGATACACTGTTCCCTCCGTTTACATGCTTCTTCCAATTTATCCAATTTCTGTTCCAGCACACAATTTTCAGTTACCAGTCCTTCAATTTCACCTCTCAGTTCCTCACACTCACAAACATTTGCATCTGCCTTTGTTTACACACACCATCTATCTGTTCCTTTATTCTTGCCCTTTCAGCAAACCATTGCAGTGCTTTTTGCTCAGAAATTTCTTTCATTTTCAACAACAT